GTGACACCCACTCATCGATATGCTGTTTTACAAAAAAAGACATATATTAGTGAATTACATAAATTTTTAAAAAAATTAATCAAAATCATATATAAGAAAAATATAAGACTTACCTCCCCATCGAAATAGCCACTGTCTTCAACCCCTAATAACACACCCCACCAAGACCGATTAAGCAACAAATACATATCATCGTTGAGTTTGCTTATGTCAGTGTAACACCCCTGGCTCCGCTCATGTAGATAAAAATCAACTGCGGTCTTAGCCCAAAGGGTATTATCCAGAATTGTTTCCGGTAGTTATCTCCTCTCCACTTCAGATACCGGAAGGGTACTAGCCAGTAACTCATACGAGAGCCAACTCTCATCCATCATGTCCGGCAATGGTGGGGGTTTCTCAATAATTCGATATATTACCCCATGTGAATCGGGTTCTGGAATAGTGGGAGGGACCTCTTCAACGATGACAGTGGCCTCTTGAACGGTGGGAGCGGACTCTTGAGGGATGATAGGGGCCTCTTGAACGATTGGAGGGGACTTTTGAGGGATGACAGGTGAGTCAGGCTTCTTCTTGTGGAGTCTTCGCACTATTGGGGTGAACGGAGACGTAATAGCACGTCCACGCCGTCTGATGCGTGAACTCCGTCGTGCAAGGAAAACCCGACGTAAAGCATCCACCTTATCGGGCCGCTAAAAAAATTAATACATAAATCAGTAAATAAACAGACATGATATTAAACAAAGAAAAATATGTTTCAAACTTCCATTGTATTCACCCAAGTCATTATTCTATCATAGTTCACAAAATGCATCAGATAACATTCCAGAAGTAAGAACTTATATAAACATTTAAAAGGACAACATATATAAACATTCCAGAAGAAGAATAGTTTACTTTCGCAACACGAAACTTAAAATCGCAACGCGAAAATGACTATCGCAACGCAGAAATGGCTATCGCAATGCGAAATGAAAATCGGAATGCGAAATGAAAATCGCAACGACAAAATCGTAACGCGAAACACAAATCGCAATGCGAAACTAAATTCGCATTGCGATTTTCATTTTCGCGTTGCGATTTTGTCGTTGCGATTTTCATTTCGCATTGCGATTTTGTCGTTGCGATTTTCATTTCACATTGCGATAGCCATTTCCGCGTTGCGATAGTCATTTTCGCGTTGCGATTTTAAGTTTCGTGTTGCGAAAGTAAACTATTCTTCTTCTGCAAATTGAAACTTGAATGGATTGCATTACTTCAACCAAAAGACAAAACCAAAAACAAATACTAACTTCACAGGGTTAAAGAATAAACAGTTTAGCAATATTGACAGCAACCGAATGAATTTACTAAGCAATCTAAGTGAAATGGTTAATCTAAGTGAAATTACGAGTAAATTTATCGTCAAGTTAAATATGAAAAATCTTAAACTTACCTCGTTGCGTAGAGTATGAACCTTATTTTGTAACGATGCTACCATCTCACGTAGAGCGGCTACCTCACCACGTAAAGTAGACACCTCAACACGCCATGCACCATCGTCTTTGCGTAAAGTACCGACCTCCTCACGCAAGGCATTGACCTCATCACGTAACTCCCCTAACTCATCCCGTGGAGGTGGAGGTGGAGAACAGGGAGATAAACGTCGTGGCATCTTTGCCGGTCGCCTATCTTGAGGTGATGGTGGAGAAGAGGCTCGATGATGTGACAGAATAGGTGATAGATGTCGTTGTGGAGGTGTATAGTCGGGTCGATCAGGTGAGGTGATGGCTCTGGGTGAGGTGATGGCTCTCGAAGTGGAGGCTGCTCATCATCCGTGCCATCAAAAAAATGCTTACTGGCTTGCCACCAATCAGTGGCAAGCTCAGCTTCCGTGGGTGTCAGCCTCTGTAATGGAGTGTTGGCCTCCTAACAATATAAAAGCTCAAACAAAGTTAAACGTGTACTAGTAATAACTTGTTTATAAACATATGGTAGTATTTATGTTAACTTACATTATTTATTGTCGTATACCGTAGTAAATCTTCCCATTGCAAGGTCCGTTTCCTCTTCCAGGAAATAGCCCTGGGAATATCATTTGAAGTTTTTATTGCATATGTCTGCATGGCGGGAAAGGCCTCAAATATCCAAATCTACAAACAATATAATAACAAACATTAGTAATTGTTAAATAATTAATTATAATTTTGGAAACATTATATAAAAATTCTTACCTTAAAGGCCCAAATAAAACCTGTCAAAGTGTATTTAGAACCATCGCCATGCAAACTTTTTCGATCATCCAAGGCAGACGATAATTTATTCCATGTAGCTTTCCATAAATACGAACCCCACGGAAATAGGTTCCATGCATTTAAGTCCTCTACCAATTTAATTAGATCATTCAGAATAGGTTGTCTGGCCTCTCTACCTAAAAAGCCGGCATGCAAAAGTATTAGAAGGCATACTCGGACAACATCGACGTCATCCATCCGAGTAAAACCATCTTTCTTATTCAATAATCTCATCAAGTCTTCCACGTGTAGATTCGGCCTCTCCAACTCAGGAAAAACCCGAGATAACCATGATGGGCGGGTAATATGTCTAGTGTACCGACCTACATCATCGTGTCCGAAGCGTAGACCGGTGATTAAGCAAAACTCCTCCCGCCCAAAACACGTATACGCCGGTGGAAAATCAAACCATATCTCTTCATCACGACGTTGTATAGTCTCAGGTAGATCGCTAGTCATGGTTTGAAGAAACAGGTGTGTCAACATCGCATCTCCACCGGGATATTGTACTTTCAGCCATGGCCCGAAGCAAGTATCCTCAAACATTTTTCTTTGTGCAGGTGAAAGCTTCGACGCAATTGTTTTGGCCAGACTTACTTTATTTCTTAAGGTCAATTGAGCCGAATAAAAGTTCTACAAAAACAATAAACATACCAAGTTAGATATACCAAAAACTACACTGTGAAGATATACCAAGAACAATAAACATAAAGAGTAGTAGTTTATTCTTCAAACTTAAATTTGCAACACTGTGAATTTAGTATTTGTCTTTGTTTTTTGGTTGAAGTAATGCAATTCGTTCAAGTTTCAATTTGCAGAAGAAGAATAGTTTCTGAAACTTAAAATCGCAACGAGAAAATGACTATCGCAACACGAAAATGACTATTGCAACGAGAGAATCGCAATGCGAATTGAAATCGCAACGAGAAAATCGCAATGCGGAAATGAAAATCGCAATGCGAATTTGGTTTCGCGTTGCGATTTTAATTCGTATTGCGATTCTCTCGTTGCGATAGTCATTTCCGCGTTGCGATAGTCATTTTGTCGTTGCGATTCTCATTTCGTGTTGCGATTCTCGGTTTCAAATACTAAAATTGAAACTTGAATGGATTGCATTACTTCAACCAAAAGACAAAACAAAGACAAATACTAACTTCACAGGGTTAAAGACTAAACAGTTTAGCAGTATTGGCAGCAATCGAATGAATTTAATAAGCAATCTAAATGAAATGGTTAATCTATTATTGAAATTACTAGTAAACTTATCATCAATTTCAATATGAAAAACCTAATAATAATGCAAAAATTTCAAAATAAAAATAATTAAAAAAACTAACCCTCGGTGGTTGATTTGGTTGATTTTCCATTTCTGACCGTGAATGATTGTGAGGGTGGCTCTGAGAGATGGAGATAGACGGATTTCGCCGGAGATGGGGACGGATTTCGTCGGAGATGGGGACGGATGTCGCCGTAGAGAGTGAGAGATGGAGATGGGACTGAGTTGTGATTTTAGGTTTTAGGTTATGAGTTGCGATTACGGGATATACTGTGGACGGTTCAGTGTTCCAATATATTAATATTCGTGTTTGGAATTTGAAAATAAAATACGCGTTGCGATACTAATGGCGCTTTGAAAATCGCATTGCGATTATGTATTATCTCGTTGCGATAGTCAGAATCGCGTTGCGATTTTGTATTATCGCGTTGCGATAGTCAGTATCGCATTGCGATTTTCCAAATTCGCATTGCGATTTACTTATTCGCATTGCGAATTGGGAAAATCGCAACGCGAAATTGGAAAATCGCATTGCGATAGTCATAATCGCGTTGCGAATCTGGAAACTTATTTGCGATAATGGAGATCGCGTTGCGAATTAGCGATCGCATTGCGATTTTGTTGGTCATTTTGGAAAATCCGGAAAAAGTTGGTTAAAATCGTATATTATATGGGATTTTTGGTCACTGAGGCTATTTTCTCATGTTTAAAATTACAAATGTAAATAATATTGATTTCTTAATAGACGTTTATAATATTAAATTTAAATTAATCGATTAAAAGAATGAATATCAATAAATATAATTGAAAATTATCATAATAAATATAATGAATTGAGTTCAGTATAACAAATTCTATTGTTTTTATTTTTTAAAGTCCTAATTGAATTTTTTATACTTACTGGTTTTATTTTATTAAGTTTTCAAATTTTGAATTTTATAAAATAAATGAATCAATTTGAATTGAATTCTACTCAATATTTTAAATTTTAATAATATTTAATTTAATTCGAATATTTATAATTTTTTTAACTTCTGAATCAGAATAAGTTAAATAATTATTTATAATCCGAATTCAAACTCAATATAAGAGAACACAATAGCCAAGACTTATTATATAAATTGATACTTAAAATTAATAACCTTTTCAATTTAGTACCTAAGTTTTTGTTTGGACCAAATTGACAACCAAATTAAAAAAATCTCAAATTGATACTTGTGTTTAGTATTACATGATATTGACTATTTAAGATATTGGCATTATTAAAGAGCATATGTCACAACTTGATATTGACTATTTAAGATATTGGCATTATTAAAGATCATATGTCACAACTTGATTGATTATTAAATAAAACAAGAACTTTTTGTAAATATAAATGCCGATTCGATTGAAATAAAACTGTTCGAACACCGGCCAATCCGAAAAATGTGTAGACGATGATAGATAGATAGTAGACGTAAACGAAAATTTTGAGTTTTGAGTTCGCGGAAAATGCACAGATGGTTATAATTCACGATAGGCAATACAACATATCACAAGGATAACTGAAACTGGAACACAAGTTTCAGACTGAAAAGATCCGTTGTCAAGTTACCGGCACGACCTGTATCGGTTGAACACATTGGAACAGTCTAAACACGACGGGACACTTTCACTCTCGTGGTCGGGCGAGCCAGAGGGAACTAAGAGCCCGTAATCTCGAGAAATAATCATGTATCGCAAGCAGTGCTCGAGCTGATTGGCGGGTTGTCAATATCCGGTGCATTTGTTGTAGAGTTTGCTGCCGTAGATTGTCAGCCTGGTGATGTATAACTTATTAGAAACACAAAACGACACTAGACAGATTATAGTTTTTGAGTATAAGATTGATGAATGGCTCGAAAAGCTTCCAGATCAAACCTTCGGAAAACAAAAGACCGGTTTTCGGATTGCAATATATACCCAAATTCTTCACATCTGAGATCGAAAATACGACACGGTCCATAGTCTAGTAAAAACTAATGTTACCATTCCTAGTTCGTATCCAAAATTAAAACCAACTCGATAAAATCATTCGGGTTTCATCTCTTCATGTCAACCGACACTAGTAAGTTATGCACATTGAGTAAAAGAAACGAATCGAGAAAATGAAGAATAATAAATACGCATTACCTGACGGATAAACCCCTCGAGGGTCCCTAGCTTCCCCATGGCCATGGCCATTTGGCCCGTGTAGTTTGCCACATTCCAAGATGATCCCGACGAGCCTAAAGATCCGGTCAACAATGTCTCGGCTAGAGACTGCTGCAACGCCTCCATCCCTTGAGATAATGCATCTTCAGCCTGTTGGGACGATTGCTGCAAGTTGCCGATCCCGACCAACTGTTGCTCTGTCAAAGGCTCTAATTGGCTTACGAGAAGCTGCGAGAATAAGCATTGAATTCGATGATGAAGAGATATGAAGAAACACCATCCTCAAGAAGTTTAGCAGCAGACTCGGATGAGCTACCTTTAGAAGCTCAGAGGAACGGAAACCACCAAGCCATAAGAAACACCGCTCGGCCAGTGTTTTCCACATGCCTGACAACAAATGGAAAACATCAGCCTTAGCTGCATTGCTCTTCAACCTGAAAATTTCATCATAGTGAGCCACTACACCATCAACAATAATACGAAGTTCTGCATCGCTTGCATGGGAATTTACAGCCGTTTTCAGCTCATTAATTTGCCGGTTTTGCTCTTCCAACCACCGTGCATATTCTGCATCAAATGCCAGGGCACCTGCAGAGAAAAATAAGAGAACAAAACACAGAGAGAAACCGATAAATACACGGTTACATTCGAAATGCAAACAAAAAATTTTGTGATAATACCCCATATAACCACACTCCATGCATTCGAAATGCAAGTTTTTGTGATACAGGAAATGGCGCCAGTTAGTTTTGATGATATATTCCCAGGTAAGGCCTTTGTACACTGACCTGTACTATGCTAACTGACAGCCTATCACTTGTCAATGATGCTAGCCAGACTCTATTGTAAGTCTCCAACACCAGTATGTATTCGAGATAGGAATGTCTAAGTTTTTCCTCGTATTTGGAGGGTTTTTGGAGTGCCATATCCCCATGCCGATTTCCAAATAAGTTTCGAACATGGGTGTCCAGCATAGATAATTCAAGAAAAAAGAAGAGCCAGAGCAACATAGCAAGGTCTTAGAAAATGAATACAGTTCTATGACTCCTATTCTTCAGAATTCTCAATAAAGTGGTCAATCAAAGAACTCGGACTCCCCCTCATACACAAATTGTTTCCGTTAATGCAAGCTAGCTAGCATTCCGTTGCTTCAATGAAGCACTACAACAAACAAGACTCATTACAATCACTAGAAGAAAAGTTTACCACGAACTAGATTCGAAAAACCATTACATTTCCGCCCATTGAATGGCTTTGATCTCCAGAGCTTGATATGAAGATACCCTGTACAGAAAGACAATGTTAAATAGTACATACTCGAATAAGAAAAATAATAAACTGTGTACGCAATCCGTGAAGTGATGAAGGATCAAGTCTAACCTGTTGCCTAGCGCGCTGAAGCTCCAGCTCTAATTGTGTCAACTTCAAACGATTACTTTCCAGCTGTTGCACATATGCCTGGCGAAGAAAAATGGATAATGTGCCTCGATGTTGGAGATTCAATTTGATCTCAAAGACTCGAACAAGAAGTATGAGAATTTGAGAGAAAAAGTATATAACAGTTAACGGTGACGAAAATGAAACAATCATGAGAATTCAGAAGCATAAAGTACGCAATGGTTAATAGTCATCTTTCTGTTATTTTGCACTCGAATGCTACAAAGAGAACTCCACCAAAAGAATAGGAAAAAATAGCCACTCATTGTCAAAATGGTACTCGAATTACCCAATCATTATAAAATTGAAAGAAGTACAACGGCTATGTGCAATATGTAGATCTTTCTTATATGGTCAAATATGTACGACTCTATCCGGCCCATGTTATCTTCAACTACACCCGAACCCCTAGAAAATCAAGTAGAAGGCTTGTGTATTCTACCAGTTAGACGCCAAAGAAATCTTGAGCTGCACTGAGCAATGGAAATAGAAAAACAAACAATCAAAAAATATTGAAAGAAAAGTTGAATAAAGTTAAGGGAAAAGACATTCTTTCTCAATCGACTTTTTCTAGCAGCCTCACGGTTTTGAGCGAGTCTACGAAGAGTCTGTAGAATACAATATTAACAACAAATGATCACCGCCATGACCAAATTACTAGCTATTAGCCATGCAAATAAGATAAATTATCTGACCTTTTGATCCAAATTACCCTTCGATCTGTCACTAGAATCAGAAACCGCAACGAGAGCACTAGATTTTCCTCTATCAAACTGCAAGGAGTAAAATGTCAGACACTCGACAAGTCGATTAACAACAACAACAAAAACCTAGTCCCTCTACGTGGATCATACTACACAAATGGGCTCAATGAGAACCACAATCTAAGTAAGACAACAAAAGCAAAGAAAGAACCAATACCATCCAAAATGATCCGAAAATATTTATCAAGTTAAAAGAAATAAATCATACCCTCTGACTTTTTTCATCGGTATCCGCATCTGTTGAGATATCAGTCTTTGGACTACCATCAGCCATAGTGGATTCTCCCCAGTTCTCCGTACTACTAATAGGTATCGAGACCAGATTTGTTTGTTGACCGTTCTCTAACTGCAACCTCGGAGATTCAACTTGGTTGGCGGATGGATATTTAGTAAATGAAGTTGGAGTCTGCTTCGGGCAATAAGCAGAAGAGAATTATATTACTGCACTCTAAAAGCTAGCTAATTACATGATAAGACAAACAATATCCACCTTATCCGAACTGCCGATAAGGTCAAGATCAGTAGGAACTTCTTGGCAACTTACTTTTGTTGAATTAAACACGGTATCTGCATGGTGACGTTTCATATCAAGTCCTTTATAGATATATAAAGCAAAGTTGTCTTTCTACTCATTACTGTTGTCTTCGAATAATCAATCAGAAAAATGCTAAATATTAAAATCACCAAGGAGAAAAAGAACATGCATTGCATATTGATACAAGATGATAAAAATATAACTCGAGAAAGATAACGGTGCAGCAACCAAAAAATGATACTGAACCTGTTACTTCTATTCATGGGACATGTGACATTTACGTATTTCATGCATCACTTTATAAGACGAATCAAGGGTGTATGAGATCTAATTTTCTGTCCCTAAAAAAAACAAAATATTTATAAATGATTGCTCCAATTACGATTTTTAAGGAGTAGATTACTGAAGGCATACTTGCACTCTTGTTAACAGCATCTTCTAGGTGAAATCCAACAGATTGGTCGAATGTCCCAAAATTTGAAACAGGGAACGGATGGATCGTACTCCCCTCTGTGCAGCTGAAAATCAGATTTACAAGATAAGTAATCAGGAAAGCAGTGACAAGCAAGAAAATGTTGGAAATAAAACACACACAAACAACTTTTATTGAAACTCAAACAAATATTACAAGAGTACTCTCACTCAAAAACAAGAACTACAACTCACTCTTATAAGACTTTGCTTCTTCACTCACTTAGAAGCTCTTAATTTTTCTTGATGCTTAAAACTAAAATGGGAAGGGGTATTTATACTACTCAAGAACAATCCTACACCACACAAATAAACTAATTTAAACCATTACAAATTCAACAAATATCTAACTCTCACCTAACTAAATTGATGTAAGCAATGATATCATTAATTAAATGATGTAAGCAATGACATCTTTAATTAAATGATGTAAGTAATGACATCAATTTAGTTTGGGTTTGGGTTTAGGCTCCCATAATGGATCAAGTTTATGATCCAACACCCTCCCTTAAACTTGATCTCGTGACCCCTAGTAGGTTCCTTAATCTTAAGAAGTCTTCGTTGGTCAGTGGCTTGGTAAAAATATCAGCAACTTGATCTTGTGACTTCACATATTCAACTTCCACATCTTTTCTTGCAACACACTCCCTTATATAGTGGTAGCGAATATCAATGTGCTTGCTTCGATCATGGAATACTGGATTCTTCGCTAAGGCAATGGCTGACTTGTTGTCGACACAAACCTTGGTAGGCTCTTCTTGTATCAAACCAATCTCCTTCAATAGATTTCTAAGCCAAATTGCATGACAAACACATGAGGTAGCAGCAACATATTCCGCTTCACAAGTGGATAATGTGACAATCGGTTGTTTCTTTGACATCCATGTGAATGCAATATCTCCCATGAAAAATACGAATCCAGTAGTGCTCCTTCGATTATCTATGTCTCCACCCCAATCACTGTCGCTATATCCAACAAGCTTGTAATCATTAGAAACTGAATAGAACAAGCCAAAGTCAATTGTACCTTTCAGATAGCGAAGAATTCTCTTTGCGACTTTAAAATGGGTGGTTGTTGGGGATTCCATGTAGCGACTAACCAATCCAACTGCGTGAAGAATATCGGGTCTCGTGCAAGTTAGATAGCGTAGACTTCCTACCAAACTTTTGAAGAATGTTGGATCTACACTTTCGCCTTCTTCATGTTTGGTCATCTTGATCCCGTATTCTGCCGGTGTGCTTATTGGCTTACAGTTCTCCATCTTGAACTTCTTCAGTATCTCCTTTGCATAGCTTTCCTGTGAAATGAAAATTCCATCATTTTGTTGCTTAACTTCAATGCCAAGGTAGTACGCCATGAGCCCCATGTCTGTCATCTCGAATTCTTTCAACATCACATCCTTGAATTCATTAAACATGCTTGGGTTGCTTCCAGTGAAGATCAAATCATCCACGTAGAGGCACACGATCAAAATATCTTCATCTTTGATCTTGATATATAGAGCATGCTCGTAGGGACATTTGTTGAAGCCATTCTCTTGGAAGTACTTGTCGATTCGGCTATTCCATGCCCTTGGTGCTTGTTTTAGCCCGTAAAGAGCCTTCTTCAACTTCAACACCTTGTCTTCATGCCCTTTGACTTCATAGCCTGATGGTTGCTGAATGTAAAGTTCCTCTTCAAGAACTCCATTTAGGAAGGCGGACTTTACATCCATCTGTTGTATCTTCCACTTGTTTTGAGCTGCCAAAGAAATGATTAGTCTGATAGTCTCCAATCGAGCAACAGGAGCAAATACCTCATCATAGTCAATTCCAGCCTTTTGACTATAGCCTTTAGCAACTAGCCTCGCCTTGTGCCTTTCAATCTCTCTTTTGGCGTTTTGCTTTGTTTTGTACACCCATTTGACACCTATCGCCTTATGTCCCTTGGGAAGTGAGGTAAGTTCCCATGTGTCATTCTTCTCGATGGCCTTGATTTCTTCGTCCATCGCATCTCTCCACTTCTTTTCTTGTACCGCTTCTTGAAAGCTCACTGGTTCACAATCGGCAAATAGACAAAATAATGTAAGATTATCTTGTCGTTCAGTTACCTCATAGAGATCTCTAAGGCTTCTTGTGTGTTTCACAACTCTTTCACTTTGACTCCCACTTGACGATGATGAAGGTGATGAGTCTCCTTGAGTGGTTGATGTTGGTGAAGTGGGTGGAGTTGCAAGCTCTTGTTGAGATTCATCTAGTTGCTCCCTCATTGTCTGCTCATCTTCTTCAAACTGAGGAAAGAAATTGAAGTCATCTGTATGAGAGTTAAAATCCCATTCTCCTTCTTCGTTGAAGACCACATCTCGACTAATCACAAACTTCTTATTGTCTAGATTGTACAACTTGTAGCCCTTCGAATTAGCATCATAGCCGATGAAGATAAAACTCTCGCTTTTATCATCAAGCTTCGTTCTTCTCTCGTCTGGTACGTGAACATGGGCTATACTTCCAAAGGTTCTCAAGTGGGAAATGCCAGGCTTTCTTCCACTCCATGCCTCTTGCGGTGTCTTTCCCCATACACTTCTTGTTGGAGATCGATTTGACAAGTAGACTGCACACGATACTGCTTCCGCCCAAAATTCTTTGGGTAGTTTCTTGCTTTTGAGCATGCTTCGTGCCATGTCGATGATTGTTCTATTCTTTCTTTCTGCCACACCATTTTGCTGGGGGGATCTAGGAACTGTCATTGGTCGACGAATTCCATTTGCTTCACAGAACTCTTGAAACTCCCTGGAAGTAAATTCTCCACCTCGATCGGATCTCATGGCTTTGATCTTTCTACCGCTTTCTCTCTCCACTGCTGCTTTGAACTTCTTGAAGACTTCAAAAACTTCTGACTTCTGTTTCAAGAAATATACCCAGGTTTTTCTTGAAAAATCATCAATGAAGAGAAGAAAATAGTTATTGTTACCGAGAGAGCTTGGCTTGATCGGTCCACACACATCGGTATGGATGAGCTCAAGTGGCTTCTTAGCTCTTGTCTCTGACTCCTTTGGAAAGCTTTTCCTGAATTGTTTCCCGACTAGACACCCTTCACAGAGTTGGTCAGGATGGTTGATGTGAGGTAGTCCTTTCACCATCTCCTTCTTAGATAATAGCTCTAGACCTCCAAAATTGAGATGCCCAAATCGAAGATGCCAAAGCCATGATGCATCTTTGTAGCAAGCTTTCAGGCACTTTGCAACATCATTTTGTATGTTGATCAAGAACATTCTATTATTTGACATCGGCACTTTAGCAATGAAGTTATTCTTATCATCTTTTATAGAAAGATTATAATTATTCATATGAATATCATAACCTTTCTCTACCAGTTGCCCTAAACTTAAAATGTTACTTTTCATATTGGGCACATAGTAGACATTTGAAATAAATTGATGTCTCCCATCTTTCAAACGGATAAGAATGTTACCTCTCCCTTTCACTGCTATTGTGGAATCATCTCCAAACGAAACATTTCCACTTACTGACTCGTCTAGCTCCACAAACATGTCTTTCCTTCCACACATGTGATTGCTTGCACCACTGTCAAGATACCAGGAATTTGCTTGGCCACCATCAGTTTCCTTTCGTGCTAGAAGAAGAGTTTATTTGCCATTTGTCTTTTCCTCCACGTAATTGGCCTTCTCCTCAATTTTGTTGTTGGGAGCTCTACATTCTGAAGCATAATGCCCAAATTTTTGACAATTATAACATCGAATTTGAGATTTGTCATACTTTGAGTTTGGATTAATTCTTCCACGGCCTCGTGTTGAGCTTTCTCCTTTCTCATAGTTGTTGTTGGAATTGTTATTGTTGTAATTCCAGCCTCGTCCACGACCTCGACTTCCACCTCGTCCATGGCCTCTACCTCTGCCTTGGCCACGTTGGTTTCTATCATTGCGTTGGCTCTCATGCATATCCTTGAGTTGCAGCTTGAGGAGTTGCTCAGTAAACTCATGCTTCTTTTTATGCTTCTCTTCGTATGCTTGCAATGATCCTTGGAGCTGTTCGATCTTCATTTCTTCCAAGTCTTTAGTTTCTTCAATCGTCACGACGATGTGCTCAATTTGGGATCCAACGAACGGAGTATCTTCTCTATTATCCTCACATCGTCTAACTTTTCACCATTTCTTTTAATTGATTAGAAACAGCTACTACTCTTGAGAAATAATCTGAAATAGACTCAGATGCTTTCATGTTTAAGGATTCGAATTCACCTCTTAATGTTTGGAGACGAACCTTCTTCACTTGCTCGGATTCTTTGTAAGAGGTTTGCAGCTTCTCCCACGCTTCCTTGCTAGAGCTTGCACTTGAATCTTTTCAAAACCATCATCATCTAATGCTTGATAGATGAGGTAGAGAGCCTTCTTGTCTCTCTTTCTTGAATCCTTCAAAGTTGTCTTTTGATTTGGTGTAAGAGTAGCAAAAACATCATCATCCGCAGGCTCATTATAGCCTTTCTCTATGATATCCCACACATCTTGTGATCCAAGAAGTGCCTTCATTTTGATACTCCAATTGTCGTAGTTGTTGTTGTTGAGTGTCGGAACTTGGAATGGTGCCATACCATTTGCCATATCTCTCAATATAATGAGATTTTGTAAAATCCGATTACACGGATGAATCCGGAACGATGAAAAAAAAACTTTGGAGGGACTTGGACAACTCGGTCAAGGGCTCCAACTCGGCTGAATCGGCTCAACTCGGTGAGTCAACTCGATTTTCTGGCAGCAGTCTTCCGGCGGTGCGTGGCGGTGCGTCAGAACTCAGATTGAGAAAATTCTGGCGGCGTCGTATTCCTCTCGTCGAGACCTTCGATCTTTCCAACTTGCTCTGATGCCACTTTGTTGGAAATAAAACACTCACACAAACAACTTTTATTGAAACTCAAACAAATATTACAAGAGTACTCTCACTCAAAAACAAGAACTACAACTCACTCTTATAAGACTTTACTTCTTCACTCACTTAGAAGCTCTTAATTTTTCTTGATGCTTAAAACTAAAATGGGAAGGGGTATTTATACTACTCAAGAACAATCCTACACCACACAAATAAACTAATTTAAACCATTACAAATTCAACAAATATCTAACTCTCACCTAACTAAATTGATGTAAGCAATGACATCATTAATTAAATGATGTAAGCAATGACATCTTTAATTAAATGATGTAAGTAATGACATCAATTTAGTTTGGGTTTGGGTTTAGGCTCCCATAATGGATCAAGTTTATGATCCAACAGAAAACTGTAAAAACACCTAATTTGTGTTTTATTTATTCATAAGCAGTTATTAGGCTTTTATTGCACAGAAATGTTAAAGGCACGTCAGAATATTAAACCGATACCATGCGATGCCGTCAAACATCCAATTCACAGTTGTATAATTTTCGACAAATCTGAAATCTGGGTTAAGAGATCAATTGTTCAAAAATAACTTCATTAAAACGCAGAATAGTAGTTCAATATATTCTATCCTGGAAAAGACTCTTCTCGTAGTAATCACCAAAGCCGAACAACTTTAGCTACCAAGGCACTAATTATCTACACCCCCTTGCAACATATCAAAAGAAAATCCTACCTACTGAACGTTTGAATCTAGGATGTTAAGATTCGGTCTTGATAAAATACTATATTAAATGAATGGAAGATTTATTCCAAGAATTCGAGTGAAACTTAGACGTAACAACATTTGAATATATAATATGAAATACTGAGATGATAAAGGCAACCGAATAAAGGAAGATGTGAATATATCTGTGAAATTGATCATTTTTAAGGGAAAACGGATGGAAGTGAACCATGAGAGGATAGATGATTGAAACTATAAATTGAGGGAGAGGAACTTACAGTATGTTGGTAATTCATAATGGTGAGTCAAAACTCGGCATCCCTTTTGCTGCTTTCTTCTCATATTTTGCACCAGATACAAATCATGATCGTACTTCCTTAATACTTTGAAAACAAATTAAAACGGCCAACGCATAGTGTGAAATGAACTGAAAGAAGTATAACCACCGTTCAGTAAAGATAGTAACAGAGGAATACAAAAACAAAATCAATCCCGAAACAGCTAAAAATATGAGTGACTGGGAGAGCAAATCCATGTCAAAAGCTTCCTATCCAAAATAACAGTGAAATTATCTTCGAAAACCAAAGAATGCCAAGAACACTACAAAGGAAATCACCTAGCTGCTGGAAGCTAGAAATGATGTCAATCATGTTGTCGAAAAAAAACTAGTGATCCCCGAGGCAGCCAAAAATACGAACTGGATGAAACAAAAGAACACAGATCCAAAACAATCTACCAGATGAAGCTAAAGAAATAATATCAATCATGTTATAGAGCTCTCAGAAATTGCAGGCATCCGAGGATGCGGAACTCTTTCTGATGTCTAGATAAGCCTTTTAAGATCGTGTTCATCTTATCTAGGTTCAAACACATCCATGCAACAATACACAGAAGACGATTTCAAGTAGGACACGGATTGGTCTGTCCAGCATTCTTCAAAAAGGATACCTATCTATTTCTCGGTTTTTCCTTGTGTCAACAAGGATCCAAATATTCGCAAATCAGAATTTGACAAAAATAAAGGGAATCGCACAAGTTAACTAGGAAAGTATGAAAAGTTATGAACAAGTTGACTAATCAAATCAACAAAAGAACACACACTTTTAACACCAAACTTCTAGACCATTTGAATAGTACATAGATTCAACAGTCAAAAGCACCAGAAATAAAAATAATAACACACACTTAACATCTATAATAACACACTTAACAAACTTGAAATTACCTAAAGTTAAACAATTAAAAGATGATATGACTTGAAAATTTCAATCGATAAACCAAACAACCTGAACCCATAATATTTCCAATCTAAAGTAACTTAAAATGATTGAATATTAAACTAACTCAAACCTAAAACAGCGCTAATTAAAAATATTCAAACTTGAAATTAATTTTTTTAATTAATTTGGGTTAAGTATAAGGCATTATTTGATTAAGGATAACTCTCAACATTGAACGCTCACACCCTTAGCATCTATGGTGTTCGAACCCGGATTCTCAAAGAATAACAATAATTCTTTCACCACGGTTGCCACTTAATTCATGCAACTTAAAATCAATATAAATATGAAACAATTCAAATTTAAAATAACCTTCAATCATAAATCAACCTCGATTAATTCAATTAAAAATAAATTTGACATGCTTAATTGAAAGGTATATGTATAATGTATTCTATATAATGTTTTTGCTTGCTTGATTTGATGTGATAATTTAGTTGTGTTATAATTAAAGGAGTTTATGAGGTTGGATCAAATTTATATATAATATTAATATATTTTACACTTCTTTAAATATGATCTGATCAATATTATGAATCTCAAATTTTATCTAAATTCAATTTAGATTTGCTCATATCATTATTTTTTAATGATAATAATTTTTTTTATTTAATATTTTTTATAACTCATTTTTCTTTATATTTATTAATTTTTTACTCTTTTGTAACTGACAATTCGATATGTTTTTTGTTTATATTATAGTATTACATATTATAAATTTATTTTTATGTGATATAAATTAGATAATAAATAAAAACAGCATAATAAAACATATTATAAACTTATAAAACGAATTGAGTCGGGTCGAATTTAGATCTTAAATGTTGAAATTCGAGTTATACTCATATTTTTAAACATTTTTAAATTTTTTTCAAATATGTTTTTCAAGTCTAATCTCTTTTTACATACCATTCTAAATTTCGCAAGGATAACTTGTATCACTCTTACTAAAGCAGCTTGTTTTTTGTGTTCCATCGGCGTTAATCTTCGTCCAACCCAGCTTCGAGAGTGTCCACTAAAGTATTGGCTACTGCTCGATGCTTAAAGTTGAGCTTTGGGGTGATTACGATGGCTAGATCCAAGCTTAGACAGTAAGGTTGCAGCAGAGATGAATCGAGAATGATTGATGGAACGTTCGTTCCCTGAAAATTTTAAATTTTCGTATCCCTATAATTCATTTTTTTTTTAATATATTTTTACTGATATATAATATGTTCTCATCTCCTCAATTTTATAAATTCACTTCTCTAATACAAAATCTTGCATCCGCCTTTGAATGACAGCATAGGCCATTGCTGATAGCTCTAATAAGGGTTCTCATGAATCACGAAGATAAAGCATATGCGAAAGTTTTTTAAAAAATTAACTTAATTTAAAATTAAAAAACAAAGGAGATGAACGCGCAGAGGATAAAACTCTAGATTTTTTTAAAATTAAATCATAATAATGAATTTATTATTAATATTATTTTCATGAAGAAAGTAAAACTGTTGCTGAATTTCAATACAAACTGGTGATGCGTCGCATCGATGATTAGTGATACTTTATGAACAGGCTGAGATTGGGGGTATGTGTGGACGATATCGATGATTCGGGTTGTGCTCGAAAAGATAGACTCGGATGACGAGTTATCGATCGGAGGATGATAAGGTGAGAAAACCGAGGTGTTCATGTCTAATGCAGGTTTCATTCGTTCATTCTTTTTTAATGGAAGACTTTACGTTTTTTTTATTTATTTATTATTACTATTAGAGGTTGTCAATTATGGCGAATTTCATTTGAATTTGTGTGATTCTTCGTTTGTTTATTATGTATCATGAAGATTTCATTATTATATGTGAGACTAAGGAAATTATTATCATTCAAATAATGTATATAAAATATTTTTTTTGGGTACAAATGTATACAAAATATTTAAAAGATTTAAAAAATCATATATTTTCTATGGATTTGATTATGATATAGATTTATTTTGTGTCCTTATTTTTATAATAATATTAATTATAAATTTGTTATTATGATTTAATTTTAAATAAAGTCAAAAGGTTTTATACTCCATTTATGGAATTCAGATTTTTTTTAATGAAACGAACATTAGATTCACGTCTAAGAAGTCAAAATGAGTGAGTTGAAAATTTTGAGGTCCAATAGTCATTGACGTTGGCGATAGATGATGATCGGTAACGATGGTGAAAAAAGATTGACGAGGGACTTTGGGCGGATTTAGGGTTTAAATTGATATTTTATCTAAAATTTAATGGTAAATTCAATGTTTTATCTAAATAAAGTTTAGAAATTAAATTAGTATTTCATCTAAAGTTTAGGGGTGAAATTATAAATTAACTCCTTTTTAACATACTGCATCATCAAATAACGACTTTTAATATCAATGATCAAAACGTTATAAATTGATAAAGTGACCAAAATATTATTATTATTAGAATCAGTGTCTAAAAGTGAATGTAAATCAAACAAAAGTGACTATTTTGGTATCACCCAAAAATATTACTTAAGAAACCATGGAGAGATTTTTTAATAATAATAAGGGTAAACTAAACGTTTAGCACCCCAACTATAACTTTTGTTTCATTTTGGTCACTCAATTACTTTTTTGTTTCAAAAGCATTCCTAACATTATGTTTTGATATCAATCGTTAAAAAATAAACGGTGATGTTGACGTATCACCATGATAATATAATCTCATCATTGAATTTTTTTTAAAATGTGACATCAATAGTTCTATTATTTTTTACGGTAAATGACCAAAATGGAACTATAACATAATGTTAAGTATGATTTTAAAAAAAATAGTGAGTGGTTAAAACGGAACAAAAGTGATAATGAGATACCCAACATATACTTTACCCTAATAATAATAATAAAGAGAGTTTAAATCATAGAGAATGTGTTAAAAATAAAGAAAATTATAGAATGAATGTCACACCGAACCGCTACTATTTTTATAGGGTAAAATTTTTAAATGATCATTAAATTATATTAAAATAATTCCTTTTAATACTAAACTTTTAAAAGTTATGTGATAGGCATTAAATTATAAATTTTATTATAAAATAGATACCACATCTTTAACTATCATTAAAGGATAATATAACATATGAAATCAATAAAAAAATATATTATTTGACCCCTTAATTATAACTAAAGTTCTATTTTAATTTTTCAATATTTTTAAATAATAATTTTAAAAATTATTATATATATATATATATAAATTCACATTTATTTTTAAAATTAATTTTTCAAAAAATATAATTTTGTAAACTTGTTAATTCATAAAATATTTTATAATTAATTTTATTAAATTGTGATTGTATTTGTAAAATATATAATTTATAATTTTCGAGATATAATAATTTCCGTCATCAAATCAAATTAATTTTTTAATTAAGTAATGTGATTCAATTATTTAACTTTTGTTTAATAGTTTTAAATATAATTTTGTAAATATATTTATAATTTCAAAAATAAATCGTAAAAATATGTATAATTACAAAGTGATTTTTTTTTTTGAAAATTTATAATTATTACTCAAAAATATTAAAAAAGTCAAAAACAAAATTTTAGCCCCAATTGAGGAAACAAATGAGATTTTTTTTATTAGTTTAGTATGTCACATACCCTTTAATGATATTAAGTGTCAATATTTTTTAACGAGATCCAAAATTTAATGTTCATTTTATAAATTTTAAAAGTTTAATGATTAATAAAGTCATTTTGTTATAGTCAAATGACTATTTATAAATTTATATAGGTATATATAAATGTGTGACATTCGAGTCTGTTTAATAATAATAAAGGTTTGTTTCACCGAAAATTTTAAAATAACAAGGAGGTCCCACATTTGTCGCTTTACATCCGGAAGGTTGAGGACGTTTGATTTCAAGTTTTCAACATGAAAATGACCGCCAACGACGTCGTTGCATGCGTCAGCATGAAATGTTCTGACGACTATTCCCAAGATCCAACGGTTGATGTGGTGCCACGTTAATTTCCTAAAGAGGATAAGAAATAACTTCTTGACTTTGGAATATGGAAAAGACTTTCTCTTGGAGTACGTTTCCTTGCCTTGTGTTTAGTCAAAATGAAATAAATTAAAATTTTGTAATTTGTACCACCAAGGATAATCATATTTTCTAAAAAATAAATAAATAAATAATCAATTCAATAAAATTAATCGATTTATTATTAGTTTTATAGCTGATATTCATTTTGAGTTCTGTTTTAAATGATTTTACACCTTTCTCTCATCAAAAAAATATTTAATTTAACTATAATCATTAAAAATATTCATGATGTTTGACTTAATAATCATTTTGATTCGTTCTTTTAGGATATTAGCTCTTGATATTTTATTTTAGGACAAAAAGATTAATCCATGGATGATAATAGTCAGTCGATAAACTACCAACGCTCCAAACTATAACTTTTTTGTCTTAAAATAAAACATTATGGACTAAAGTGATTCAAAAGATAGAATAAGAGTTCAAGTGACTATTTAGTCAAACATTAGAGGATTTTTGGTATTATAATGAAGCATTGAGGCTAAAATGCTCAAAAAATAATATGAATCAAAATAATTATTTGATCAAATGTTAAGGTTTTTTCATTCTATTATGCATTCAATTTAATAGAGGGATAGATTGAGAGGTATTGAGGAAAAATTGCACCTTTAGAAATTCCAAATTTTTATATAGTTTAAGAATTTTCTTTACATTTTCTACCTCTTAAATTTTTAATATAATTTTTAAAAAAATTCACATGTCTGACATAAAACTATGCATATATTTATAATTTAATATATTTAATAAATATATTTAATAAAGTTGGATCGTCTCTTTAAGTTTTAAAATTATTATTATTATTATTATAATAAAAATATCATAAATCATTATGTATTCATATTATTTTTAATCCACAAAACTTTTTTAAGATAAAAAATTTCAATGCAACTCGAAATAGATAATATATTGTAATTGTTTTTAATTAAGTAGGAATATATTATATTTTAAAAATAAATATCAAGATCCAAATTCAATAAATTTAAATAATCTTAATTACTCTACCAATCAATGAAATTCGATAACATATTACAAATTTGTATGAATCATGAAATTGGTTCCAATTTCATTCGAGTTTGGTCTGATTTCACGAGTTTAGTTACTCATAGATGTCAAAGAAGACCACATGATTAAGCATGTGTTTGATTGACTTTGAGTCTCACGAGACGAATTATATTATAAAATATTTGTCTTTGTTTTTAAATATTAATTCGTAGGTTTAATCATCAAAATTGAATTCAAATCTTAATATTTCAAACATGTCCTTTTATTTCCAGAAACTTTGTTGTGTAATAACTTGCGACTATGAGATAATAATTAAAATTTTGAATCTAAAAGTAATCATAGGAGAATCTAATGAGCAATCCTATTGGTAAAATATAAAGTTATCTTTAAATAACTTTAGTTGTATGTATACATAAAAGTTAATGATAGATTGAGATATCCATTGTTTGGTTTAATCGAATTAATCGATCAAACTAAAATTTAGTTCGATTAATTACAAGTTAGATCAACTAACGGTTAAAAAAATTTAAATTCAGTTAAAGGTTAATTCAATTCAAAATCAATTAATTAATAGAATTAATATAAAATATTAAAAATTTAATATATTATATATATCACATATATATTTTAAACATAATACCAAAATTTGTTCCACAACATTTATCAAAATTGCATTTTGGCCCATATTATTTTTTGAAGCATTTTGGTCCTCAATATATTATTTAAGGGTAAAAAGATCCCTAATATTTATCGAATGATCACTTTGATCTTTATTCTTTTTTTAGTATTTTGACCCTCAATATTTTATTTAAGGGTAAAAAGGCCCCTATTTTTTTTTAGCTTTAATCATTTGTTAGCTAACGATTTTCATATATAGAGGGGTTGTTTTGCCCCAAAATGAAATGTTTGGATTTCAAAATATCCAAAAAAAATAATAATAAGAGTTAAAGTGATTATTTAATCAATAGATGCATTTTTTGACATTATGCCGAAGCTCAAACCTATTAAGAATTAAGGCTCAATTATTTTTTATCCACACTAGACTTATTAAACTTTCAATACTCAATTAAATTTTAACCCAAATGAAAAAACATCTCGATTAAACTCAAAGTAATCTATCTATTTTTTTTTAGAAAAATAATATTGTTAATGATTAAAAATTTTGATTAATTTAATTATGATTAATTTGATTCACTCTGAGACAAACAACTTACTTTTTTATAAATAAGCCTACAATGCATTAAAATGTTAAAATATTATAAGATTATTAAAAAAAATTGAAAAGACAAAATAAAAAAATTTATTTTTATTAGTTTGTAGTTATTATAATATAGTGTATGTTCAAAAAAATTAATCATTTAATAATAAATATCTAAACATTAATATAAACGTAGTATTCAAACTCAAGATTTAAAAAATAATAATTATTTATTTAATTAAAAAATAAGAAAGTATACAAAATGAAAAGGGCAGGTTTGGTCGACCAATGCATATTAGCCACGGAAAAGATATATTTGTTTTCCAAGGCAAAAAGAGAGAAAGTCCAAGTTTTCTCGGTCACAAGAGTCTGCGCACGTGCTTTTTATCCATTTCTTCACTTTATTCAGTTAGTTACAATGTACCAAAATACGCTCCTCTCAATCCTTAAACCTTGTTCTAATACATTTATTATTTTTATTAAATTTATATCAATTATTTTATTTAAAAGCTCCGATTACCTTTAAAACTACGATTTAATAATTAAAAGTATTTTATCTAAATATATTGATAACCTTGAATGTCGTTGTCAGTCCAAGTTTTAAACTTTAAAATCTAAGATTTAGCATAGATCAAATTATTTCAGTGATTAAAGGAGTTGTTGTTGTTCTTAAAATTTATAGGTTTGATCAGCAACGATTGTAAGGATGATTGAACATTCATTGTTAAATAGTTAAAAATACTTAGAACAAATATCACTTTGTAATCACATTTAGTTTAATAAAAAAAATTAAGATTAAAGAGTTACGGATTTGTGATTATAAAGTTTTGAATTTAAAAATTGTGATTTTAAGTTATAAGGTTTAGTATTAAAATAAATAAAAGTTAAAAATTTACTCATCAGATAATTTTCTATTATTTATAATATGTAATAAATTCAAGTAAAATACTCAACTCAGATAAATTTGGTATCTAATATTTTATAGAGAATCTTCTAGTTCTTTTTAAATATTTTCCATTCCTTTCTTTCTTGTAAGCTTCCTCTTCCCTTATCAAATAATATATATTTTTCCATATCTTATCTCTTTCCACGAAAGCACCATTGATTACTAGAAGAAAAAAAAATCCAAATTCCATACCCCTATATAAACCTAAAAACCCTAATTAAAGTTATTCACATGTTCATCATCAAGTCTTATTAATTCCTTTCCGAAAAGGGTACTCAAATCTCTTTTCTTCTTTTAATTTCATCCATGGATGCACTCGGTGTTCATCAAGTGAAGAGAACCAAGAAGAACTCGAAGAGGAGAAATTCCAAGAAAGATTTGAAAGTCGTTTATATCTCCAGTCCCATGAAGGTCAAGACGTGTGCCTCGCAATTCCGAGCTTTGGTCCAAGAACTCACTGGCAAAGACTCTGACGTCGCCGACCGGTTCATCGACAGCTCTAGCTACAATGACACCACTCCCGAGAACTCGCCGACGAATTCCGACACGACGAGGACTACTGCTGAGGGTGATGGTGTTATTGGTCAGCTGCCCCTGCTTGATTTCAACAACGATCAATCAGTGTTTGGTCCATTTGATGATGGAATTATGTCGGAAGGGAGTTTCTTGGGGATGTTTACATCAAATTTGTTCCATGATCCATCGCAGTTTGATGCTATTAGAAGCTTTGGTTCAGTTTAATTAATTTAAGTATGTAATTATATATAATTAAAGTTTGTAATTATATATAATTACATGTAATTATTATATATAGCTATGGGCTTTAATTTATATAAATAATAGAGTTTTTTTAAGAAAAAATTGCATGATTGATTATTGAATTTTTTAAGAAAATTTTTGATCTTATTGTTCCTGTACTATGCACAGGTATAAATTTAGTTCAAACACGTACTCGAACCCGACACTCAACTTCACATCCGAAGCCGAGTAACATAAATCAAACCACATTAAATATGATCACAACTACAAATGTCTTCTAATTTATAAAAGAGAGTCAAGTTAACACAAAGTAAGCACTAGTGAGTGTACATCTCTGATTTTTTTTATTAATGCAAATGCTTCATATTTAAGTTAAAATGCTGATTGAAAACTTTGAGGACTTCCACTTGTTTTGTGCAAGCCACTTAAAAAAGCCATTCTCTAAAGCATCTTTCATCCATTCATGCCTGCAGCTTTGCAGTGCTTTCGGAATCGTAAGCCAGTTTCTCATCCGAGTGCTCTGCTCCGGCCACGAACTTAGTTCCTCCTTCACAAGCAATGCGAACATTGCAGCTTTACATAACCCTTCTGGACTGAATTCATCCTGATGAGTTTTGCTCTTGAAATGATAAAATCCTAGGAAATCCTAAATGCCATAAGAGAAGTTAGATCACTTTCAACCTAGAGTAAAGAGGTAAATGCAACAATCTTACGCATGATAAATAATTTGTGCAATTCTCATGGTGTAAAGGCAACCAGAGGAATAATTGAAATCTTCCGGTGACCATGTTAAGAGATTCTGAAACTAATAGGGATGAAGCAGCAGCTAATTTCTTGTACAAAGAGAAAATATAACCTATTACTTGAACTTGAATGTGTAACACCCCAATTTAGGGGCTAAATTTTAAGAAATTATAAAGCATTGGATTTAATTGGTATTTTTGAAAGAAACGGTGGATTAAATTGTAAAATTTTAAAATTTGTAGACCGTTTTAAGAAGTGCATAAAATTCAGTGGCTAAACTCATAGTTTACCCATTTTTCTTTTGAATGAATTATAACCCCTCCCTCATGTTTTTCTACAAATTATCATTTTCCTATTCTCCAACGACCCTTCTTCCAACTCCGATCTATTCGCCGTCCGACCTCCGATCGACGAGCCGAAACCACTATCGTGTTCGTTGTCGAGCGAGGAACAAATCCCCTCAAACCTTTTGTCATGAATCGTCGCCGTTCGTCGTTAATTTCAGTCGGAAGTATCGTCGGTAATAACCCGATTTCAGTTGGTTTTTCATCGATTCACGACGATCCGAGCATCCGTTTACGACACCTCCCGCACTATTGTGTTCCTTGCATCGTTCCGAGTCTGCCGGTGTCATCCTTGGTCTCCGTTGACGGCGGCGCGTGAGGAGGTGAAGCGGACAAAGTTTCTGATTTGTTGAAATCGAGCTCTCCGCCGTTCAAAATTGTGAACCGAGCTTTGTAAGTATCTCGGAATCGCTCAAAATAATTTTTAAGAATTTTTCCGTGATTTTTAGGCAGCCGGAAGGGGTCCCACGCTTCGCCACTGCGCGTGGGGATGGTCCAAATGACCTGTTTTGGAGCAAGTTTGATCGGTTACAACCCAACGACCGACTCGTTGACAGTTGACCGGCGTTGACCACTGTTGACCAAAACTTTGACGGATTTTGACCGGGCATTAAACGACCTTTGACTTTGACCGAGTATACATATCCTAACATTTTTCGACGTTCCAAATACGGTTCCAAATCCGATTCCGCAGTCCGTTTTTCAAAATTCGAACCCGAAGGCCTCGAAATTACCGGTCAAGCCCGTTGACTTTGATTTTGACCGAAAATTTCAAATTTCTGAAAAGTCATATTTTATGCTTTCGACGTCCTGAATCCGAATCCGAATTCTGTTTCGCCAAATTCGAACCCGGTAAGCTATTTTTCACTGATTTATCACCCGATTCGATCCGTTTATCGTAATTAAGCTCCGTTTTTATATAATTTATGTTGATATGTATCTGATGAATTATTGGAAGTTGAATTGAAGATCAAAGGCGCTCGAATGGAATTTTTATGATCGATCGGTATTGCACGAAAAACGAGATAATACTTTACTACCTCTTTATGCTTTATGGAACATGTTGATATTGGTAAATGCATGAATAAAATAATGTTGATCATTTTTGTGGAGTTGATTAATTTATACAATCAATATGAATGCGGTAAAAATTCGGTAATTGAATACAGATCGAATGACTAATATAAGAAATTGGAGGACAATTGGAATTAAACTACAAGCTTTGTGATTGATAAATGAATCAGTCTGGTTATGTAAATTATAATTTATTTCATCAAAGGTACTTGGATTGAAAATTATGAGAATATTCTGGTATGATAAAATTACGAAAATACCCTTATGATGTAAGATGACAAGAATTGTCCCTGAAAGTTGACTAATAACTTTGAAAGGATATATTGATCTGAGAAAACTACAGATGTGCATAAGAAATGTTAGTTTTACTTGGAAATTTGGATAACCGGGTTTTAACCCAATAAGGTTTATGCAATATATTAGAAGTCTGTTAAGGAATCATTTCGAGATCAAAGAATGTTTGAGAAAGCAATTAACCATTGGATCTTTAAAGTATAATTATTTTCGTTAAGAGTTAATACCGAAATTATATGGTTAATAAATTACGAAAATGCCCTTGAAATGTAAAAATAGTCCAAGTTGACTCTGAATGAGATAATAACATGAGAATTTATTCTTAAACCGATAAATTACTGATTTAATGGTTGAGATCCTACTTTTGTATGGAAAATTCCTAATAATTCGTTAGTAATGTCTAAAAAGACTTTTAACCTGGAAAACTCCGAGTTAAGAATAAATTATCGAGGGTGCTCTTTTGTCAGAATTGTTCGAAGTGATTAGAAAAGATGATACGTTGGAATTAAATAATAAGATCATATGGATGGAAAGGATTGAAATACATCAGATCTGTCAGAATAGTTCGATGTGACTGACATAAATGATAAGTTTGAATTTAATAATAAGATCGGACGGAATGAATTATTAGACTACAATGAATTTGTAAAATGACCAGAATACCCTTGGAATGCAAATGACCAAGAATATTACCAAACTCAAGAATGATTAGGTATCCTCAAGCTTTGAAATGAATGAAAAAAAAACATTGAGCAACAAAATGACCAAAATACCCTTGTGTCATATTCTAAGTAAATGCCTTGGATTAATTAAGGAATCCAAATAAGCATAGGTATTGGACTACCTTTAAAAAGTTATGGAACACAGCTTAAGTAAGCCAATCAACTTTAATGACATGTCAGTACCTGAACGGCATAGATATTACTTGAATACGTGTTTGTCTACTCAAGTTTAGCTCGATGATAATTTTGGAAGTATTCAGCTCAACTCAACTCTAGATCACATTCAGTATTAAGAATTGGACGTTTGTTCGACAAATAAACCACGAAGACCAAATTAAACTGAATGGAAATGCAATATGTATTTGGAATTCAGAAATGTCTGAATTACTCTGGAAAACTCTAAAGTAACAAGAATAGACATGATTGTTAAATGGACTAAATAACCTCAATGAATGAGGATTAAATAAGTGATTTGGATGAGTCTGGAAACACTGTTGAACTTACATGATGAATTGTCTTTATGGGTTATGAACCATGAATCAAGTACGTCCGTATTTCCTGATATCGTTGAAATATGGAAATGAAATAAAGACTGTTGGAGATCTATTCAGCGATGATTATGGGGATGATCTATGAATCTGCATTATGGTATTAAAGAGTGAATACACTTGGAAGGATAATGAATTGACTTGTTGACATGCATCAGTTTGAGAGTTGTGTAACTCGAGTTGTTTGATAATACGGTCGATAGTCATAGATTGTAAATGACTTGAATCTTTGATTCTTTATTTTCATCTAAAATCACTTCGGTCATGTTTGAAAACGCAAGTAACGCAGAAGGAAAATATTCGGAATACCTCATTTGGTTCAATTGGGCTGAAATCCTATGAATTCAAAGTATTTCTCAATACCCCTGATTGTTTGGGTAATGAAATCACTCGCAGTAAATCTGAATTTAGAATTATTATGTATAAAGGTTCCTGAACGTTTTCTTGATGCACATAGAAACTTAGTGGAATTCTAAAGTATCAATCTGAAATGTCTGATTAGATCGGTTAGAAATCGATTCTCTTCAATAAGATCTTATTACTGAAATCCGATCAAATTGCACAAGTTCATGTTATCCATATTGATAACTACAAAATACATCTGAAAAATATTTGGATTCTCTAGTGTGTTCTTTATATTTTGAAAATTATTTTATTGTTTTAACATGTGGTACACTGAAATCTATGGTTACTGGTTTATAGATGCACCGACTTAACGGTGATGGCTTATGGATTTGTATCATTGTATAAACTGTATCTTGGAGATACAGATTTGTAAAGTACAGCTCTGATCAAAATGTGACTCTTAAGTAGGCTCTGCGGCCCTGAGATCATTCTCGGGTACCCTGCGGCCCTAAGATGTGTTCTTAAGTAGGCCTCATGACCCCAAAATCTATCTTGGATAGGCTCTCAGCCCTAAGATGTTCCCTTAGGTTAACTCTTTGTAAGATGGTTTAAAATACGAGTTTAAAAAGCTCCACTACAGTATGGTTTATGGGATTTTACTAAACTATCATTTGATTAGTGTACCTATTATGATTTTATCGTACTGATGGAACACAGTAGATACCCTATTCGACCTCATGAAAATGTGATGTATGAAAGCTTTCTTATAAACTGAGATTCATGGATTCTACTCGATGAACTACTAATGGAACCCTAGATTATTCCGCAACTGGTATACGTTTGATTCAATAAGGAAATTATGGCTTCCCATTTATCTGCATGTCATGTAGCATCATCTGGTAGTTCTGTATTACTGAGCTTTCCGAAGCTCACT